GGGGTAAGGGAGGGGTGATAGTGAATCAGGGGTAATGAAGGGTGGTAGTGGATCAGGGGGTAAGGGTGGGTGGTAGTGGATCAGGGGGTAAGGGAGGTGGTAGTGGATCTGGGGGTAATGAAAGGGTGGTAGTGGATCAGGGGTAAGGGAGGGTAGTAGTGGATCAGGGGGTAAGGGAGGGTGGTAGTGGATCAGGGGGTAAGGGAGGGTGGTAGTGGATTAGGGGTAAGGGAGGGTGGTAGTGGATCAAGGGTAAGGGAGGGTGGTAGTGGATCAGGGGTAAGGAGGGTGGTAGTGGATCAGGGGGTAAGGAAGGATGGAAGTGAATCAGGGGAAGGGAGGTTGGTAGTGGATCAGGGGGTAAGGGAGGGTGGTAGTGGATCAGGGGTAAGGGAGGATGATAGTGGATCAGAGGGTAAGGAGGGTGGCAGTGGAATCAGGGGATAAGGAGGGTGGTAGTGGATCAGGGGTAAGGGAGGGTGGTAGTGGATCAAGGGTAAGGGAGGGTGGTAGTGGGTCAGGGGTGATGAAGGGTGGTAGTATATCATGGGGTAAGGGAGGATGTAGTGGATCAGGGGTAATGAAGGTGGTAGTGGATCAGGGGGTAAGGGAGGATGGTAGTGGATCAGGGGTAAAGAAGGGTTGTAGTGGATCAGGGGGTAAGGGAGGATGGTAGTGGATCAGGGGGTAATGAAGGGTGGTAGTGGATCAGGGGATAAGGGAGGGTGGTAGTGGATCAGGGGGTAAGGGAGGATGGTAGTGGATCAGGGTAATGAAGGGTGGTAGTGGATCAGGGGATAAGGGAGGGTGGTAGTGGATCAAGGGTAAGGGAGATTGGTAGTGGATCAGGGGGTAAGGGAGGTGGAGTGGATCAGGGAGTAAGGGAGGTGGTAGTGGATCAGGGGGTAAGGGGAGGGTGGTAGTGGATTAGGGGGTAAGGGAAGGTGGTAGTGGATCGGGGTTAAGGTGAAGGATGTAGTGGATTAGGGGTAAAGGAGGGTAGTAGTGGATCAGGGGTAAGGGGATGGAAGTGGATCAGGTGGTAAGGAGGGTTGTAGTGGATCATGGGGTAAGGGAGGCTGGTAGTGGATTAGGGGGTAAGGGAAGGTGGTAGTGGTCAGGGGTAAGGGAGGATGGTAGTGGATTAGGGGGTAAAGGAGGGTGGTAGATGGATCAGGGGGTAGGGGGTGGTAGTGGATCAGGGGTAAGAGGGTTGGTAGTGGATCAGGGATAAGAGGAGGGTGGTAGTTGTGATCAGGGGTAAGGGAGGATGGTTAGTGGATTAGGGGTAAAGGAGGGTGGTAGTGGATCAGGGGTAAGGGAGGGTGGTATGGATCAGGGGTAATGAAGGGTGTAGTGGATCAGGGGATAAGGGAGGGTGGTAGTGGATCAGGGGTAAGAGAGGGTGGTAGTGGATCAGGGTAAGAGAGGGTGGTAGTGGATCAGGGGGTAATGAAGGGTGGGAGTGGATCAGGGGTAAGAGAGGGTGGGTAGTGGATCAGGGGTAAGAGAGGGTGGTAGGTGGATCAGGGGGTAAGGGAGGGTGGTAGTGGATCAGGGGGTAAGGGAGGTGGTAGTGGATCAGGCGGGTAAGAGAGGGTGGTAGTGGATCAGGGGTAAGGGAGGATGGTAGTGGATCAGGGGGTAAGAGGGGTGGTAGTGGATCAGGGGTAAGAGAGGGTGGTAGTGGATCAGGGGGTAAGAGAGGGTGGTAGTGGATCAGGGGGTAAGAGAGGGTGGTAGTGGATCAGGGGGTAAGAGAGGGTGGTAGTGGATCATATTACTCGTGTACTTATAACTACACATTATCATACACAGCAACGTACCAGAAGATACATATTCATGAGAGTATTACATTGTAATGTATATTATTTGAAATACCCATAGTACTATATATATACAGAAGTAAATCTATACTCCAAGTCGTGTGCAGGAGCTTATCTCCTATTTATTTAAATTACCTTAGGTGTAATTATTTCCTCCTATGTACAATTGTTTTGAAAGATATCAACTTATATTTGGATGGCTTGTATTCATCCAGTTGTAATCCAGAAGCGCTATTGAGAAGCCACATAATTTTACAAGATAACTGGACTAGAATACTCTGTTACAAAACCAGTGCAGTGCCTACACTCTGAAGGCGAGGTGAAGGTGGGAAGTATAGAGTCTGCACTCTGAAGGAGGGATGGAGGTGGGAAGTATAGAGTCTGCACTCTGACGGAGGGGTGGAGGTGGGAAGTATAGAGTCTGCACTCTGAAGGTGAGGTGAAGGTGGGAAGTATAGAGTCTGCACTCTGAAGGTGAGGTGAAGGTGGGAAGTATAGAGTCTGCACTCTGAAGGAGGGATGGAGGTGGGAAGTATAGAGTCTGCACTCTGACGGAGGGGTGGAGGTGGGAAGTATAGAGTCTGCACTCTGAAGGAGGGATGGAGGTGGGAAGTATAGAGTCTGCACTCTGAAGGTGAGGTGAAGGTGGGAAGTATAGAGTCTGCACTCTGAAGGAGGGATGGAGGTGGGAAGTATAGAGTCTGCACTCTGAAGGAGGGGTGGAGGTGGGAAGTATAGAGTCTGCACTCTGAAGGAGGGGTGGAGGTGGGAAGTATAGAGTCTGCACTCTGAAGGAGGGGTGGAGGTGGGAAGTATAGAGTCTGCACTCTGAAGGAGGGGTGGAGGTGGGAAGTATAGAGTCTGCACTCTGAAGGAGGGGTGGAGGTGGGAAGTATAGAGTCTGCACTCTGAAGGAGGGGTGGAGGTGGGAAGTATAGAGTCTGCACTCTGAAGGAGGGGTGGAGGTGGGAAGTATAGAGTCTGCACTCTGAAGGAGGGGTGGAGGTGTAGCAGTTCAGAGGGCTAACTGGACTGTGATGTCAACACACTTTTGGGAAGACAGCTACTGAATAAATGATGGTGAATGTGTTTCTTTGTCTGAGTCTCCCTACGTTGGTGGGAGACGGCCGGCGTGTTGAAATACACGTGTGTCTGTGTGTTTAGCGTCTTTAGAAAGATCTGTGATGACACATTCTTTTTAGCGACGCAGACCAAGATACCTGGAGCTATCTGTCACTACTGAGCTCCCGGAGCACCAGTACAATGTAATATACCGAGACACTTAGTGGTGAAGACTGTAACAAATTCACCAGGATGAAGGTGACAAATACACCAGGAAGAAGGTGACAAATACACCAGAATGAAGGTGACAAATACACCAGGATGAAGGTGACAAATACACCAGGATGAAGGTGACAAATACACCAGGATGGTGACAAATACACCAGGATGAAGGTGACAAATACACCAGGATGGTGACAAATACACCAGAATGAAGGTGACAAATACACCAGGAAGAAGGTGACAAATACACCAGAATGAAGGTGACAAATACACCAGGATGGTGACAAATACACCAGAATGAAGGTGACAAATACACCAGGAAGAAGGTGACAAATACACCAGAATGAAGGTGACAAATACACCAGGATGGTGACAAATACACCAGAATGAAGGTGACAAATACACCAGGATGAAGGTGACAAATACACCAGAATGAAGGCGATAAATACACGAGAATGAAGGTGACAAATACACCAGGATGACGGTGACAAATACACCAGGAATTCAGCATCAATCATGGTATTCCAAGTATCACCGTCGTGTTATTGCTCCTACGTGAGTCTCTCCAAAAGAAACAAGTATGACAGACACAGTTTCAGTATTAGGCTTACAGGGAAACTTCTTTGAGGCCTATGATAACGTTTCGCTCTGTGTAGAGCGTCATCAAGTCATGACTTGATAAATCTCTACCCAGGGCGAAACGTTGCCTCAATGAAAGCCTGTTCAGGGACCCCGTGACTTTTTATATAATACAGTCGAGAGGATTTCATATGGATTAAGGTTAAATGAATTAAACACGTGGGTCATTAATGCTGTAATTTACCTGTCACTGACATCAATATACTTAAACAGTAAAATAGGTGTGAAGGTATGTTCTCTGAGCGTATATGCACTGAGATGTGATGGACTGAACACATTGACTCCAGGCTGCTTTGTATAAGACTGATGAAGCCACTGTGTGGCGAAACGTTTCTTCAATAAAGATTACCATATGTTGCATAAGTGTCTCAATTCTTCAGCACAACGAAATCAAAAGACTCGGCAGACGATGCAACATCCCCCCAATGAAAAGCAGGGGTGTCACTAGCACGTTAAGAGACCATACAATAAGTGTCAGGGGCCCGAGACTGTTCAACTGCCTCCCAGCATACATAAGGGGGATTACCAATAGACCCCTGGCTGTCTTCAAGTAGGCACTGGACAAGCACCTAAAGTCGGTACCTGACCAGCCGGGCTGTGGCTCGTACGTTGGATTGCGTGCAGCCAGCAGTAACAGCCTGGCTGATCAGGCTCTGATCCACCAGGAGGCCTGGCCACAGATTGGGCCGCGGGGGCGTTGACCCCCGGAACTCTCTCCAGGTAAACACACCTCTCAGTGTGTATGCGTATCTTTGTAAATAAATAAATAAATAAATCTCTAGTAAGGCTGATGCATGCAGGGGATGAGATGAAAACCTGTAAGCCTTCTCCCTGAAAGCTGGCTGCCTTGGATCAACGTCTAGCGCAAGCTGGACGCCTAGGTATTGGTCCAGTGTGGTGAGATTGGTATAGCACTGCGTACCTTGTTCCAAGGTTCGTAGGTTCGAGTCTCCTTCAGCCAGAGATCAGTGTTTGTGTATATTTCGCCTTCTCTTGCGAATTCCTTGCATATATATATATTATATAATATATATATATATATATATATATATATATATATATATATATATATATATAATTCGTTGTCCGAGATACATACACCCTCTGGTGTATATATCTTGCCATGGTCATGGATTGTTGTTGTATAATGTATTAACTACAAGTATTACTGTAGCTTGAAAAGGAGGCAGAGGAATGTGCGTGGTGACTCAGGTGTAGCCTCGACTCATCCTGTCGTACTTATCCTTCCAGCTCAACCTTGAACACAGGAGATACGTCACTGGCCTCGCTGTTATGTACAAGGACATTGTTCCCAAGGTCCCGTACCTCGCCTACCATCATGCTACCTACGAAACAGCTACTACTGTCCCCACGACGGTCAGCCAGCAGCAGTTTTACTCTGGTTGTCCTTTCTTCCTTCACTGACGATCCGAGGAGTGCTGTTATACCACGAGACGAGCAGCCATACCACTCTGACGATATTCTTCAGTAATCATTCATTCCTATATTCTCTTAACATTTGGAACATGTTCTCATAACATATGAAGAACGCAGAGATGAAAGTCAAGTGAACAGAAATATATCTTGGCTAATAGTTGGCGCCTAGTTAAGCCTCTTCCACGTATAGGAAATCAGCCACATGTGCAGCACCTGGCTATCTATATGTAAAGACGTTACGCCAACCAATGACTTTTCTTCAGCTCATTACAGAAATGATATACGAAGATAGTAGACAATCTTTCCATGTCTCTGCGTATCGTCTCTGTGTAACAGTCGGGTAACTTGGTTGCACATGTGTCTTACTCTTCAACTTGTCGGTAATATATGCCGCCCTCAACACATTATCTCTGTGTTGAACTGAAAATTTCACTGCAAAAATAACCCGCACATATGAGAGAGAGAGAAACTTATGACGAAGTTTCAATCCGATCTCTGGACCATTTACAAAATCACACAAACAGAAAAGAGTGAGGAAGCCAGTTTATATACTGACTACCTCATCGAAACGTCGTCGTAACCTCCTTTCTCTCCTGTGAGCGGATTGTTTGTGTACTGTTCCAGTTGTGGTATTGTGCCTTTTTGTTCCTGAAAAAAAATCACTGGTTGATGAAGCTTCTTTAGAATAAAGATACCCAGGTGTTGCACACGCGTCTAATTTCTCATCTTTCCGTTATTCTGTTCCATTAATGCAATGATACTCTTCCATACATATTGCTTAATACTGAGGTGCAACTCTATATTAATTACTATGGCTAATATGATTACAAAGTTTCGAGGTATGTTGAGGAAGGACAACAGCTCTTTGCCTCTACGATAAATTCAAGAAAACGGAACTTCACACTTGAAGAACCGTTGTGTACAGGACAAAAGAGAATGAACCACAGAAAAACAGGCAATAGATCACTCGGGCTGAATTCCTTCAGATATCCGGTCCCATGCAAACCCTGTCATCTTATCCCCTATCCCTACCTAGCTTCCTGGCTGCCTAGCCAATTGCCTAGTATCATGAGTAGCACATTGGCTAGCTCTTCGGACACCTAGCAATCTGGTTAACTAATCAGCAGGCTAGTAAACTACTCAGCCGGCTAGCAAACTGCTCCGTCGGCTAGTAGATTGCTCGGCCGGCTAGTAGACAGGCCAATAAATATATCATTATTATATTTATATGAAGTGGTAAGCCCATATGGGACAATTCCCAGTGAGCGTAGAAACATTGGGCGTGTTTCTTTACATCGGTTTTCTATGTTCACCCATCAGTAAAATGGGTAACTGGGTGTTAGTCGACTGGTGTGGGTCGCATCCTGGGACAAAACTGACCTAATTTACCCGAAATGCTCTGCATAACAAGAGGCTTTCTATATAGGACTGTATACCTTGTACATATACTTGTAGTAAACAAAGATATTATTATTATTATTATTATTATTATTATTATTATTAATTCAGCTCAAGGGGGAGAGCTTCATCTCTCGCCCCGCTAGACACACTACGCTGACTGACTGGTAGGCAGGATGGCAGAACCTTACCTGTCGAGCAAGCTTTTGTTTCCAAAACGTCTCAGAGTAGAATTTTCTCAAGTTCCTGGGCGAAAGGTTGTCTCAACAAAATCACGTTCTCTCGCTTGTTGCACATACCCAGATGTGTGGGCATCACGTCTGTATATGCAGGAAGTGTTCGGTACGAGTAAAGGCTTGTTAATACCAACAGTGCGGAAATAATGCATATATGCTCAATGAAGACATTCATTGAAGGCGACGTTACACCACGAGTGGCTCTATCAGTCCTAAAGAATGACCGAGTCACTAGTGGTGAAATGTCCCGTCCAAGACATCGTCTTGATTGCACCTAAGTGTCGTACACCCACAGTGTTGTGAGTCTGTGTTGGAAATTTCAAAAGGGCTGGAAGGAAGTCATCCTGCCTCTGTTGTTGCAGCTGGACCTTCGTCTCACTACTTCCGTCACCTCAACTGCACATTACTTACTGCTTAAATAAACATACCAAAACATTCATACTTTTTACGTTATACTGTGTTTCTTTGCGATTTAAATGATGTTGATAGAAGATGTATTAGGTTAACTTGCTAGGTTTCAAGCCTAACGACTACACGAGGATCATTTGAGCAGAAAGAAGCTTGTGTTTTAATCCACAAGAGATGTAATCATCACAGTGTACAGTATATATAACTATTTTGAAATATTAAATAATTATAGGCAAGGTTTACAACTGTTATTCAGTAGAGCAATGACACTAGTTTACATTTTACAATACATACAACATATATACACCACTAAGTACGTAGGATTTTCTGGTGGAAATTGCTCTTCTGGGGGATATTAGCAAAAATAAGAGATAAGATAAGATTTCGTTCGGATTTTTAACCCCGGAGGGTTAGCCACCCAGAATAACCCAAGAAAGTCAGTGCGTCATCGAGGACTGTCTAACTTATTTCCATTGGGGTCCTTAATCTTGTCCCCCAGGATGCGACCCACACCAGTCGACTAACACCCAGGTACCTGTATGCTGCTAGGTGAACAGGACAACAGGTGTAAGGAAACGTGTCGAATCGAACCCGGGCCCTCCGTGTGTGAAGCGGGAGCTTTAGCCACCAGGCCACCGGGCCACAGCCACCAGGCCACCGGGCATTACATTCTCTTGCGCAGCATCTCTGAGCCAATCACACTTAGCACCGAATCTTGTCACGTGCCTGAGGCGAGTGTAAACAAAGACGCTTCAGTACCTTTGGCGGAGTAAGGTTACATCAGTTCATTTTAGACTAGATTAAGGTTACGTCAGTTTATTTTAGGCTAGATTAGGTTAGCTTAGGTTAGGTTAGGTTAGCTTAGGTTAAGTTAGATTAGCTTAGGTTAGGTTAGGTTAGCTTAGGTTAGGTTAGCTTAGGTTAGCTTAGGTTAGCTTAGGTTAGGTTAGGTTAGGCTAGGTTAGCTTAGGTTAGTTTAGGTTAGCTTAGGTTAGGTTAGCTTAGGTTAGGTTAGGTTAGGTTAGGTTGGCTTAGGTTAAGGTTAGCTTAGGTTAGCTTAGGTTAAGTTAGGTTAGTTTAGGTTAGGTTAGCTTAGGTTAGGTTAGGTTAGCTTAGGTTAGGTTAGCTTAGGTTAGGTTACCTTAGGTTAGGTTACCTTAGGTTAGGTTAGCCTAAGTTAGGTTACCTTAGGTTAGGTTACCTTAGGTTAGGTTAGGTTCGCTTAGGTTAAGTTACCTTAGTTTAGGTTAGCTTAGGTTAGGTTAGGTTAGGTTAGCTTAGGTCAGGTTAGCTTAGGTTAGGTTAGCTTAGGTTAGCTTAGGTTAGCATAGGTTAGGTTAGCTTAGGCTAGATTAGCTTAGGTTAGGTTAGGTTAGCATAGGTTAGGTTAGCTTAGGTTAGGTTACCTTAGGTTAGGTTACCTTAGGTTAGGTTAGGTTAGTTTAGGTTAGGTTAGGTTAGGTTAGGTTAGGTTAGGTTAGGTTAACTTAGCTTAGGTTAGGTTAGGTTAGGTTAGGTTAGATTAGGTTATTTTAGGTTAGGTTAGGTTAGGTTAGGTTAAGTTAGGTTAGGTTAGGTTAGGTTAGGTTAGCTTAGGTTAGGTTAGGTTAAGTAAGGTTAGGTTAGGTTAGGTTAAATAAGGTTAGGTTAGGTTAGGTTAGGTTAGGTTAGGTTAGGTTAGGTTAGGTTAGGTTAGGTTAGGTTAAGTAAGGTTAGGTTAGGTTAGGTTAGGTTAGGTTAGGTTAGGTTAGGTTAGGTTAGGTTAGGTTAGGTTAGGTTAGGTTAGGTTAGGTTAAGTAAGGTTAGGTTAGGTTAGGTTAGGTTAGGATCGGTTAGGTTAGGTTAGGTTAGGTTAGGTTAGGTTAGGTTAGGTTAAGTAAGGTTAGGTTAGGTTAGGTTAGGTTAGGGTAGGTTAGGTTTTGGTTAAGTAAGTTAGGTTAGGTTAGGTTAGGTTAGGTTAGGTTAGGTTAAGTAAGGTTAGGTTAGGTTAGGTTAGGTTAAGTTAGGTTAGGTTAGGTTAGGTTAGGTTCGGTTAGGTTAGGTTAGGTTAAGTAAGGTTAGGTTAGGTTAGGTTAGGTTAAGTAAGGTTAGGTTAGGTTAAGTAAGGTTAGGTTAGGTTAGGTTAAGTAAGGTTAGGTTAGGTTAGGTTAGGTTCGGTTAGGTTAGGTTAAGTAAGATTAGGTTAGGTTAGGTTAGGTAATAAGGTTAGGTTAGGTTAGTAAGGTTAGGTTAGTTTAGGTTAAGTTAGGTTAGGTTAGTTTAGGTTAGGTTAGGTTAGGTTAGGTTAGGTTAGGCTTAGTTACGTTTTTTACCATTTACGTAACAAAATATCTCAACTATAAAACCACACTAATATTTTACAGATCAAACTACAATTAACGGAGGACACCAGCCGAGCAGCAGTGGTACACACCAGCCGAGCAGCAGTGGTACACACCAGCCGAGCAGCAGTGGTACACACCAGCCGAGCAGCAGTGGTACACACCAGCCGAGCAGCAGTGGTACACACCAGCCGAGCAGCAGTGGTACACACCAGCCGAGCAGCAGTGGTACACACCAGCGCGAGCAGCAGTGGTACACACCAGCCGAGCAGCAGTGGTACACACCAGCCGAGCAGCAGTGGTACACACCAGCCGAGCAGCAGTGGTACACACCAGCCGAGCAGCAGTGGTACACACCAACCCAGCAACGGTGGTACACACCAGCCGAACAGCAGTGGTACACACCAGCCCAGCAACGGTGGTACACACCAGCCGAACAGCAGTGGTACACACCAGCCGAGCAGCAGTGGTACACACCAGCCGAACAGCAGTGGTACACACCAGCCGAGCAGCAGTGGTACACACCAGCCGAGCAGTAGTGGTACACACCAGCCGAGCAGCAGTGGTACACATCAGCCGAGCAGCAGTGGTACACATCACCCGAGCAGCATATGAATATGCATATGAAAAAGGGCACACTGCAACAGGCCTACTGGCCTATGCGAGGCAGGTCTGATTCAC